TAATCTGTAAACAACAAATAATCTGTAAACAACAAATAATCTGTAAACAACAAGCCATCTGTAAACAAAGTCCCTCAGCTCTGCAGTAACTCTCGGACCGTTTTGTTTGTTTTGTTTGTTTTGTTTGTTTTGTAACAAGTTGGCGCAGAAACGTTCCTGCTGAGTCATCAGGCCCTAGCTGAGTGTGTGTTTTTGCTCGTTAGTTTAATCACCTGCTGTAAGACAGGTTTTCATGGATCCTCACCTGTTTCAGGTGTGTCTATCAGCACACAACAACCCTCTGACACACAGAGAAGTTTCACACCCTGCACCCTGCTGCTGGTCAAACCTCTGGTCATCATGGTTCATAGCTGAAGTCAACCCGCTGTTGTTACGCTCCTTTGTGCAGCCATGTGAGGCAGTGAAGTCGTAACGTTTAGCCGTTAGCTAAAGCATGTGACGTAGTGATGACTTGTTGCACAACCACCCAGCTTTAAAGCCTAAACAATAAAAAAGAGATTAATTACAGAGAAGACGGCGATGAAGGACAGCAGCTTTACATGAGTTYGTTATGTTTTCAAACTGGTCTGAGGAGGATCTTCATCACATCACAGGAGCTTTGCTTCTTCTGTCAGTGCAAACAGGAGGTCTACAGCAGACATCAGTGGTTCCCAACCTTTTTAAACTTACGTACCCCTGAGCCGTTTTGTCAAACCACTAGTAGCCTACCCCCTCAGTCAAACATAGTGATGATTCTCCWAAACTATAATGTACAACAACTGATTGTTAAATTATCCCTTAACTAGTGCATTTAATTCTCAGGCATTTTACTTTTTTCAACTCAAATTAAACATAAAGATAAAAACATTGCCTTGAAAGTGAATAAGTAATTAAATAAATAAACCAGGTAATGGCAGGTACAGGAAGCAGCAGCGACCAAAATATGTCAGAAACTCACCCAAATGAGCAAATTGCGTGAGATTCTGTGTTTTATATTTCCACACTGTGGAAATTATGGAGCCCTACACATYCCTGTCCTATTTTTACCTATTTTTTTTCACACCTGGGTAAGTTTTCCGTGTATACTCTCGTAATATGCTCGTGTACCACAAGGGGTACACGTACCCTACAGGACCCTCCTGAGAGGGTTTCTGCTCTGACCAGTCTTAATCAGCAAAGTTAAATTAGGTCAAGGTTTACYTTCACTTTCCATCCTCCCGTTCAGATCAACGATGAGTCTGCTGTGATTCAAGATGAGCTTTCAAAGTTTTTTATGCAGCAGTTTTTAGTCTGACAGACGATCTGAGTCAGAGCAGAACTAATCCATAAATACCACAGAGCTAAATCTGTCTCTCATTGTGGAATTACTTCATTTATAATTCCTGCTGGGACTCCGACAGGTAGCAACAAGCTGAAGGAAAGGTGAGTAAACTTCACATGTTTCCATAAATCAGTTTTCCTGCAGCGACCACACACACTGACATGTCTCCAGCTCTGCTGTCAGGGCTGTTTACTCCATTTAACACGTTGTAGTGATTTATAAAAATACAACTATTAGAGCAAACTGGAAGTAAATTATTTATTAATGTTGTTTATTATCATACAAACAGTTCACATGATTTCTACACCAGTTAAAAYATCACAGCACCATGTTGTCTACAAGTCTGTGACCAGAACTCAGACGTCAGAGCAGCTGGAGCACAATCTAATGCCGAGGATGGCCCAGATGATAGAACATTTCTTCAGATATTTCTTTTTTTTTCATTTGTGTGGCTCACAGCAGCTCAACCTTTTTTTGTTGCAAGTTTGTTGAAAGTTTTCTTCAGCTGCCAGGCTTTTATTGTGAAGGTTTTTTATTGTGTTCTGTAAAAAGAAGCAACAGTAAAAAAAAAAAAAAAAAACTTTCTGCATTTTCTAAATTAGTTCATTTCATGTTCCTGACTGCAAAAAAAAAATAACTGATTCGACCCTTTAAACAAAACTTCCCTGCAGAGTTTAGCTCTGTCTACATATTGATTGTGGGCGGGTCTTTACTAATATGTGGGTGGARCTTCTGTGGGCTCCAGTTGTTCTGGGTCAGAATAGTCCTGGTTGAAGATGACTGTGTCTGCTCCCATTTTGAACCTGTGGACAGCCAGCAGACACTGGAGTGCCTGCAGACACAAACAGATTATTAGTACAAATGTACAGACCCACAAAAATTAACATGTCAGACAGAACATATAAGAACTGATAGTGTCAGACAGAACATATAAGAATTGATAGTGTCAGACAGAACATATAAGAACTGATAGTGTCAGACAGAACATGCAAGAACTGTTAGTGTCAGACAGAACATATAAGAGCTGTTAGTGTCAGACAGAACATGTAAGAACTGTTAGTCAGACAGAACATATAAGAGCTGTTAGTGTCAGACAGAACATGTAAGAACTGTTAGTCAGACAGAACATATAAGAGCTGTTAGTGTCAGACAGAACATGTAAGAACTGTTAGT